AGATTCATGTCTGTCCATACTGGCATTCCAGAATTAGAATATTTGAGTTTAGTCATCAATATACCTTTAAACTGAACCATGGGTTAAAGAAACTGAATATGAAAACTAAATGGAGAACAGGACTTTGTTAGCCACAGTGAAAGATAATTCAAATGGCATATACTAAATGAGATGCAGCCTTTAATCATGGATACATTTATGGAAGTTTCAGTTACTAACCTGGTCTGATCCTTTGATTTAAGAGGTGAATTTAAGATCACACTGACAAATTAACCTTAGTAAGAAACTTGCAGAATCTGTTAGCCAGCTGAACAAATAAGTTGCCCTTTCAAAGTGGTTTGCCAGCTCCAGAATTTGTTCTTGAGTTATATACTATTTGGAGGCAGTGTTCTCCATTTCATAATCAATTAGTAAGAATTCAGATTGCCTCTCAATTTATGGCATGAGATACATGTTATGTAAGATAGCACACAGCCAACATCTGTGTTAAAGCCACAGGTTCATTACAAATCAGTGACTACTCACAGACCTGAACTTCAGTTAGCCAGATACTCAAGTACACTATTAGCTGAACTGGGAGATGGAGTGTTTGATATATATTGGCTATGTATGTTTATTACTCCCTTCTTCTGGATGCAATGTCAGATGCAACCTGGATGCAACCTGTTCAAATATCTGTTTCCCGTGGATGGCTCACTTATGGAGAATGCTATTACTATAGATTCATTTTTCTTTTAAGAGACAAATATAGGGGTTATGCGATGTGCACAGTTTAGCTAGTTGTGCACTTTTTGCAGCCATGGATTCGTAATAGATTAAACAGCAATGAAGTACAAGACTGCAGATGCTAGAGGTTTTCTAACACAATTTCTTCAGGAGTTTCTCACAAGCTCTCTTTTCTGCTTAACAAATCTATGAAAACTGAAACTTTTGTATTGTGCCTGCAAGGTGCAGTTTGTGGTCCTTGTAGTGAAATGAGGGGGAGTAAAAATCTTAACCTTTATTTTCCACACATTTCCACTTGACTGAAAAATTTAAAAGTTAAAATCTAGAGTCATACACAAAGCAGGCAGGCAAGTGTGTTTTTGCCTCTCACTATTTGGAATGTGGGGAAGCAGTTGAAAGGAGAGAAAATGCAGAAGATTCTTTTCCTTAGTACAAATTGTTCAAGATTCATGCAGCACAGCTGCAGAAACCAGGAGGGAGGAATTCCAGAGATTTCAGGGAATCTGAAGATTTGTTTACGGATGTCCTTAGTTCAGCAGCTATACTTGCTTTCCAGAGCAATTAGTTGATTTCTATATTTCATGTAGATGTAATAAAGCGAGCCTTGAAACTAAGTTTTCAGTTAGTCTTCCCACACAGTGCTGAACATAATCCTTGTACGTGTTTCATGAGCCCTTAATGTGGGAGATTTCTATTGATCCCAAGGCAATGTCTACTGATCAAGTAAATTCATCACAGAACTAGAGGCAGATACAAAGCTAGTTCCTTAATCCTTTGAGACGCAGAACAAGACAAGCAGTGGTGCACAACCTTTATAAAATGATTCATGATAATTGAGCACAAATGTAAAACATGTTTACAGTTGACAGACACTGCAAGATGTAGACATCAGATAAAAATCTGGAGACTACAATTAGGAATGACTATTTCTTGGAAGAATATAATTATGTATATGCTTGTGTAAAACAACGTATTTTGTTGGAATATTGGCTTACCTGAGTACATAAGCTTCCTGCTTGTCAGTTTTTGTCACACTTATGATCAAACAATGCACATTCTCCAAAAGTTTGTCCCACTCAAACCTATAAAAGAAATCAGTAAGTCAAAGCGAATTCAAACACCAAGAGGATTTTTGCCACAGAATTCAATTTAATTCTATAGTTAAGGTATGGTGTCATTTTTAAGATGAAGACTTTATATTAAAAGCTGTAAGCCACAAGAAATCTCGCACCTAACACCTTCAAATTTAGTTTTGCTAAATGGTAGTTTACTGCCCCAGTTTGAGTTTACACATCAGCTAACACATCAGCTAACTGGTTTCCACCAGTTTTATTTTTAAGTCACCATGGCTTATTTGACACTGCATATGGATTTAAATCAATCACAACTGCTCCTTCCTCTGGGAAAGTATACAGCTACACTGGCTGCTTAATAAATTGCTTCCATACTTTGCTAGAGAAGATTCATGAACCAATTCCCTTACATTTTTGTAGCAGGTACTCTTCAGCTCAGCTAGCCTCTCACTCCTCCACCATCCAATGGCACTAGTTCCTAATAATTTGTAGATAACAGGCATTAACTGGTAGTCAGGAATCCTTTTCCCACCTGCTAATCGACCATGGCAAGTCAAAAACACAGCTTACCCATCTGTTCAATAAGACACTTCAGCTACCTAACTGTGGTTTCAAATGTTAACACTTTAAACATTCTTGGAAATGAAAGACGCAGAGTATTAATTTGCTTGTGCACTATAAATAGTATTGACATAATCCTTCCATTCCCATTTTACCAGGAAATTAAACAATAAGTAGCGACACCCAAAACGAGCCTGTAAAAATACCTACAATGTTATAAGTAAGCTATTATAGATGGAAGTTTCTATAGTTACAGCAGCTACATAGCAAACTTCACTAGTTTGGTTAGAGGTGGACAACCTGCATTTGAGCTACTAGAAGTTTCAGTTAGAGTGCATTTCAGCCAATATTCTTCATACAAAGTTCCAGCTCCCTTGGCTGTGAACAAGTGCTATTAACTTCTGAAGAACCATGGTCTAGACTAGAGATCAAAAACTGCATTATGTGGCTACTAAATAAAAACCCTGTAACCTTGGGCAAGTCACTTAATCTGTGCCTCAGTTCCCCATTTTACAGAAGGGATATATTTCCTTTGTCTCAACTGTATGCTCTTTGGGGAAAGGACTGTTTATATATCTAGACAGAGCCTAGAACAACAGAACTCTAATCATCATTTCAAATGAGATTAATATCTAATTTTAGTGACATGATCTGTGATAACTGGCATACAGGAGTAGCCTAGGATGATGTCTAAATAACCTGTGTATGAACAAGCCATTTGCTTTTGCATTTTTTTTTTTAAATAAAGCTGATCTCCCCCCCCACCCTTTGTCTTCACATAACAAATCAAGTTTTTTAGTGCCACTTTAAGCAGCTGAGTGACACGAACATGAATAGGTTTTATTTAGGTTAACCTTCTGTGGGGGCAGGATAAAAAAAAAAGTGTAGTCCACAAAGGATAAGCCACTGCATTATAATGCCCTGGTAATCCTATAGGATGATGCATTAGGACAGGTTGTCTCGCAACCCCAACACATAAATAAGCTTCAATGAATAAAGTGAAACCTGGTCAATTAAGACCAAAACTTAATTTATACAGCATATTCTAGAGAATATTTACTATCAGAGCACTATTTTTAAGCTTCCACACAAAAAATATACGGGCTACTGGTATGTTGCTCATCCCTTTAAACAAAATGTCATACTGAAACTTCAGACTCCCAGAGCTTCTCCTACATTTATCTAATGTGTAACTTTCAGGAAAGTTAACAAGATTTTAAATAATGCAATCCACAAAAAGTGCTAAGCTACTTAAACTTGGTAAAGCTAAACATTTGAGAGCTACATCAACTAATTAAAAAGCTATGCATCCATATATAAATCTCTTCTATAAGTGATCAGTGTTAACTTCAGCCACCACTAAACAACAACTAATTTCTTAATGAATGACAACATATAAAAATGTAACAGGCAAGCCACCACACACTAGTTACTTCACCCGTTAAACTAACATTTAAAACTTGCATTTAATGGGAATAAATTGAGTAATCAGAAGGTGGTGCACACTGAAATAAAGCGTTAAGTTTCACAATTATGAAATTAATGCTAATTCCAGTTTAGCAGTAAAAACCCATTTGTCTACATATAATGCCAGTACAAAGTTGAACTCAAATGAAAAAGATAAGCAGCAGAAAGCGTGCCACTGAAGAAAAATTCATTTGAGAATTAAACCTTTGAAGATTAAAGCAGTAACTTTCAGTTGAACTCTGAACTCACGCTAAACACTTCCAGTAACCCATTTTATAGTCTACCATCTATATTACTTCTCAGTCTTCTATAATCAGTGATCTGAAATGAAGGAATCTAAAATGCATAGCAGGTGTTTTTTTTTTAAGTCTAAGGTGATGAAGTCTCTATTAAAAAACTAGAAGACAGACTTAATTTAGTTCCTCAACTGAATATATTAATCCGCATCTCCTGTCTCAGTTACTGATCTAGCTGCCGCTGTTCCCTTTCCGGTCTAAGTGCCCCTTATTACCACTCAGGTGGTTAGGCCTTGTACCTTTACCGCTCCTGGGGTGGATTTCTGCCATTCTCTCACTTTTAGATCTGGTTGCAGTACCTTGTGTAAAAGTGCTTACCCAGGTTCTGGCACCTGTAGTCCTTCCCTTAAGGAGTATCACTAGTTGTGTATAGTTACAAAACAGCCTTCTCAAAGAGAAAGTTATTCTACAATAAGACTAAAAGCATGAGGAAAAAAGGGTTTTAAAACAGATGTTCTTCCTGCATGTCCATTTTACACTAAAGGCTAACCATTACCTGATGGTACCCTCACTTCTTCCGACGTCAATAGGTGCTTCCCTCTTAGGCTATATACACACTACAGCTGATGTCAGTATAAGTTATGTCACTTAGCCCTGGTCTACACTAGGACTTTAGGTCGAATTTAGCAGCGTTAAATCGATGTAAACCTGCACCCGTCCACACAATGAAGCCCTTTATTTCGACTTAAAGGGCTCTTAAAATCGATTTCCTTACTCCACCCCTGACAAGTGGATTAGCGCTTAAATCGACGTTGCCGGCTCGAATTTGGGGTACTGTGGACACAATTCGATGGTATTGGCCTCCGGGAGCTATCCCAGAGTGCTCCATTATGACCGCTCTGGACAGCACTCTCAACTCAGATGCACTGGCCAGGTAGACAGGAAAAGAACCGCGAACTTTTGAATCTCATTTCCTGTTTGGCCAGCGTGGCAAGCTGCAGGTGACCATGCAGAGCTCATCAGCACAGGTGACCATGATGGAGTCCCAGAATCGCAAAAGAGCTCCAGCATGGACCGAACGGGAGGTACGGGATCTGATCGCTGTTTGGGGAGAGGAATCCGTGCTATCAGAACTCCGTTCCAGTTTTCGAAATGCCAAAACCTTTGTGAAAATCTCCCAGGGCATGAAGGACAGCGGCCATAACAGGGACCCGAAGCAGTGCCGCGTGAAACTGAAGGAGCTGAGGCAAGCCTACCAGAAAACCAGAGAGGCGAACAGCCGCTCCGGGTCAGAGCCCCAAACATGCCGCTTTTATGATGAGCTGCATGCCATTTTAGGGGGTTCAGCCACCACTACCCCAGCCGTGTTGTTTGACTCCTTCAATGGAGATGGAGGCAATACGGAAGCAGGTTTTGGGGACGAAGAAGAAGAAGAAGATGATGATGAGGTTGTAGATAGCTCACAGCAAGCAAGCGGAGAAACCGGTTTTCCGACAGCCAGGAACTGTTTCTCACCCTAGACCTGGAGCCAGTACCCCCCGAACCCACCCAAGGCTGCCTCCTGGACCCAGCAGGCAGAGAAGGGACCTCTGGTGAGTGTACCTTTTAAAATACTATACATGGTTTAAAAGCAAGCATGTGAAAGGATTACTTTGCCCTGGCATTTGCGGTTCTCCTAGATGTAGTCCTAAAGCCTTTGCAAAAGGTTTCTGGGGAGGGCAGCCTTATTGCGTCCTTCATGGTAGGACACTTTACCACTCCAGGCCAGTAACACGTACTCGGGAATCATTGTAGAACAAAGCATTGCAGTGTATGTTTGCTGGCATTCAAACAACATCCGTTCTTTATCTCTCTGTGTTATCCTCAGGAGAGAGATATAATTCATGGTCACCTGGTTGAAATAGAGTGCTTTTCTTCAGGGGACACTCAGAGGAGCCCATTCCTGCTGGGCTGTTTGCCTGTGGCTAAACAGAAATGTTCCCCGCTGTTAGCCACAGGGAGGGGGGAAGGTTGAGGGGGTAGTCACACGATGGGAGGAAGCAAAATGCGACCTTGTAACGAAAGCACATGTGCTATGTATGTAATGTTAACAGCAAGGTTTACCCTGAAAGACTGTAGCCACTGTTTTATAAAATGTGTCTTTTTAAATACCGCTGTCCCTTTTTTTTTCTCCACCAGCTGCATGTGTTTCAATGATCACAGGATCTTCTCCTTCCCAGAGGCTAGTGAAGCTTAGAAAAAAAAAAAAACGCACTCGCGATGAAATGTTCTCCGAGCTCATGCTGTCCTCCCACACTGACAGAGCACAGACGAATGCGTGGAGGCAAATAATGTCAGAGTGCAGGAAAGCACAAAATGACCGGGAGGAGAGGTGGCGGGCTGAAGAGAGTAAGTGGCGGGCTGAAGAGCGGGCTGAAGCTCAAATGTGGTGGCAGCGTGATGAGAGGAGGCAGGATTCAATGCTGAGGCTGCTGCAGGACCAAACCAGTATGCTCCAGTGTATGGCTGAGCTGCAGCAAAAGCAGCTGGAGCACAGACTGCCACTGCTGCCCCTCTGTAACCAACCGCCCTCCTCCCCAAGTTCCATAGCCTCCACACCCAGACGCCCAAGAACGCGGTGGGGGGGCCTCCGGCCAACCAGCCATTCCACCACAGAGGATTGCCCAAAAAAAAGAAGGCTGTCATTCAATAAATTTTAAAGTTGTGAACTTTTAAAGTGCTGTGCTTAAAGTGCTGTGTGGCATTTTCCTTCCCTCCTCCACCACCCCTCCTGGGCTACCTTGGTAGTCATCCCCCTATTTGTGTGATGAATGAATAAAGAATGCATGAATGTGAAGCAACAATGACTTTATTGCCTCTGCAAGCGGTGATTGAAGGGAGGAGGGGCGGGTGGTTAGCTTACAGGGAAGTAGAGTGAACCAAGGGGCGGGGGGTTTCATCAAGGAGAAACAAACAGAACTTTCACACCGTAGCCTGGCCAGTCATGAAACTGGTTTTCAAAGCTTCTCTGATGCGTACCGCGCCCTCCTGTGCTCTTCTAACCTCCCTGGTGTCTGGCTGCGCGTAACCAGCAGCCAGGCGATTTGCCTCAACCTCCCACCCCGCCATAAACGTCTCCCCCTTACTCTCACAGATATTGTGGAGCACACAGCAAGCAGTAATAACAGTGGGAATATTGGTTTCGCTGAGGTCTAAGCGAGTCAGTAAACTGCGCCAGCGCGCCTTTAAACGTCCAAATTCACATTCTACCACCATTCTGCACTTGCTCAGCCTGAAGTTGAACAGCTCCTGACTACTGTCCAGGCTGCCTGTGTACGGCTTCATGAGCCATGGCATTAAGGGGTAGGCTGGGTCCCCAAGGATACATATAGGCATTTCAACATCCCCAACAGTTATTTTCTGGTCTGGGAATAAAGTCCCTTCCTGCAGCTTTTGAAACAGACCAGAGTTCCTGAAGATGCGAGCATCATGCACCTTTCCCGGCCATCCCACGTTGATGTTGGTGAAACGTCCCTTGTGATCCACCAGAGCTTGCAGCACTACCGAAAAGTACCCCTTGCGGTTTATGTACTCAGCGGCTTGGTGCTCCGGTGCCAAGATAGGGATATGGGTTCCGTCTACAGCCCCACCACAGTTAGGGAATCCCATTGCAGCAAAGCCATCCACTATGACCTGCACATTTCCCAGGGTCACTACCCTTGATATCAGCAGATCTTTGATTGCGTGGGCTACTTGCATCACAGCAGCCCCTACAGTAGATTTGCCCACTCCAAATTGATTCCCAACTGACCGGTAGCTGTCTGGCGTTGCAAGCTTCCACAGGGCTATCGCCACTCGCTTCTCAACTGTGAGGGCTGCTCTCATCTTGGTATTCATGCGCTTCAGGGCAGGGGAAAGCAAGTCACAAAGTTCCATGAAAGTGCCCTTACGCATGCGAAAGTTTCGCAGCCACTGGGAATCGTCTCAGACCTGCAACACTATGCGGTCCCACCAGTCTGTGCTTGTTTCCCGAGCCCAGAATCGGCGTTCCACAGCATGAACCTGCCCCATTAGCACCATGATGCATGCATTGTCAGGGCCCATGCTTTCAGAGAAATCTGTGTCCATGTCCTGATCACTCACGTGACCGCGCTGACGTCGCCTCCTCGCCCGGTATCGCTTTGCCAGGTTCTGGTGCTGCATATACTGCTGGATAATGCGTGTGGTGTTTAATGTGCTCCTAATTGCCAAAGTGAGCTGAGCGGCCTCCATGCTTGCCTTGGTATGGCGTCCGCACAGAAAAAAGGCACGGAACGATTGTCTGCCGTTGCTCTGACGGAGGGAGGGGCGACTGATGACACGGCTTACAGGGTTGGCTTCAGGGATCTAAAATCAACAAAGGGGGTGTCTGTACATCAAGGAGTATTTCAGGCAGGACTTCACGGAGGGTTCCAATAAGAAATGGTGCACCTAAGTTATCGTTCTTATTGGAACAAGGAGGTTAGCCTGGCCTCTGATTGATACATGGCTAGATTTACCTCGCTGCACCTTCTCTGTGAGTGACTGCAGTGTGACCTAGAAGAATGAGTCCCCTAGACAGGGGAGGGAAGGAAGCAAATGAGTACAAAACAAATCTGGTCTATTTCTTGTTTTGACCCACTCCATCTATCTTTTACATCTTTGGCTGGCAGCAGATGGTGCAGAAGGACTGCATGCCATCCACATCTCATGGCTGCTCGGCAGAAGATGGTACAGTATGACTGCTAGCCATCCTCATCTCTTGCCTGCCTGGCAGAAGATGGTACAATACGACTGCTAGCCATCCTCATCTCTTGCCTGCCTGGCAGAAGATGGTACAATACGACTACTAGCAATCCTCATCTCTTGCCTGCCTGGCAGAAGATGGTACAGTACGACTGCTAGCAGTCCGTATCGCCTGCCCGCTCACCATAAGACGGTTCAATAGGACTGACTGCAGGACTAAAGAGAATGACCTGGTCAAGTCACTCCAAATTTAGTCCCTGCGCCCATGTCTGCCCAGGCGCTCCCAGCCGACGTGGCCAGGAGCACCTCGGACACGACGAGGATGACTACCAGTCGTATTGCACCGTCTGCTGCCAGAAGGCAATGGGTTGCTGCTACTGTGCAGCAAAGCCGTACCGCGTCTGCCAGCACCCAGGAGACATACGGTGACTGTTACCTGAGCGGGCTCCATGCTTGCCGTGGTATGGCGTCTGCACAGGTAACTCAGGAAAAAAGGCGCGAAATGATTGTCTGCCCTTGCTTTCACGGAGGGAGGGAGGGAACGGGGGCCTGACGATATGTACCCAGAACCACCCGCGACAATGTTTTAGCCCCATTAGGCATTGGGATCTCAACCCAGAATTCCAATGGGCAGCGGAGACTGCGGGAACTGTGGGATAGCTACCCACAGTGCAACGCTCCGGAAGTCGACTCTAGCCTCGGTACTGTGGAAGCGCTCCGCCGAGTTAATGCACTTAATGCACTTAGAGCATTTTCTGTGGGGACACACACACTCGAATATATAAAACCAATTTCTAAAAAACCGACTTCTATAAATTCGACCTTATTCCGTAGTGTAGACATACCCTTAGAGATGTGAATAAACCACCCTCTTGGGCAATGTAAGTTACAGTGACCTCAGTGCCACTGTGGACATCGCTATGTGGTGGAGAGGTTCTCCCGCCGACATAACTTCCGCCGCTCGTGGGGGCTGGAGTAATTAAGTCGACAGGAGAGCTCTCTCCCATCGGCTTAGAACATTTGCACTAGCAGCACCACTGTAAGCTCTGTCATGTAACCATAGCCTAAGTCTGCTTTTTCCATACTCTCCCCACTAGCCAACACCAATAATCTTACTTTTTAAATCTGCTTGAGTTCTTTCAAATTCCTATGTGCAGAGGACGTTAGAGAAATGGATTATCTAGAGTAATTTTTCTCTTCCTGCTTATTTTTCCTTACAGACTTCCTATTACACTTAACCAATATATGTATGCAGTAAACATCCCAAACACCAGGTCACCATTCAGTATTTGTAAGTTTACAAAGCAGCTTCAATTCCATCAGTCCTGCTTTAGAGAACTTTTAAATTAGAAAATCTATTAAGAAAATGCTACCAAATCTATAAAATTATGCTGGGCTTCTTGGTTAAACGATATCAAATTAAAATACACATCTCTGAATATCCTTGTCGTTGTCAAGCACAAATTCTAGGACGTCCATTACTGTCCAACAGTTAGTTTAGTAGACCCTGGCTTCGCTCCCACCTTCCACTTTGCTCTAGACTGCTAAAGCTTCAAAATTTAAGTTAACAAGCTTTCACAGAATCCATAAAATTAATTAAAACAATTATTTCTTGGTTAACCAATCTGAAGATACTCCTAATTCTCAGTGCATCTCATAGCAAGTTTTGAGTAGTGTATGCAGGGTGGATTTGATTTAAACCAAATTGATTAAAATCATGATTTAAAGTCAGGAAGACTATTTAATCATGGATTTCTACATAAAAGTGCATTCTTGTTGGTTTTTAGAACCTTCATACATATTCTTCACAACTCAGAGATAGATGTAGGTTTCATTTTTAGAAGGTAAACACCAGACATTTTTTAAGTGATTTATTTTGAAAACTTTTCAGATTAGTTTTATAGCTATATCAGAAAATGAATGATTGCTTGGTTATTTCATTTACCAAAGGTAATTGAAGCAGATATTTATGAAGTCATTGGGAGGTGAACTATCTTCAGTTCAACAGGTTAATCATTAACATTTGGAGGATTTTCTTGCCACACTGTATTAGGAGGAGAACATCACCAGACAGACATTTACATTGTTTTATTTAACTAAAACATTATATATTTTAGACTTTTTTCTTCAACAGCAAACATTTTAACAAAACAAGCGTATGAATTTTTGAATTTAAACAGTCAAGTTTTTTAAAATCAGGTTTGTTTTTGTTAAAATTGTTAACTAAAATAGTTACATGAAATTTAAAAAAAAAAACATTAAATCGACTATGTCAGCCAGATCAACATGAGAAACTTAAAATATTGGCTTCTGCAGCTAACTCCATCATCTTTACCTTCATTTTCCAGATTATGAACAAATTAGAATAGAAAAACAAGCTTTCCTGCTTTTTCAGGTCCCAAACAATTTCTCAATTTGGAATGAATTAGTTCAAAGAAAAATATTCTCTCCCCACCAGCAGAAGAAGCTACTTCTGTTAAAAGCGAGATCATCACTTCAACAGTCTCTGAATCCAAGTGGTTAAGTGACTTCCACCAGTTCACTGGTGTGACTTTCTTTAAATCAGCAGCAAA